GCTTCCCTCTATGATATTCTACCAGTCTCTTTACCCTACCGATAAATGGTGCGTACCATCAGTCCCGCCGAGCAAGCGAGTTCGGCCACTTGCTTAGCGGTGTCTATAATGCTTCCCCCATCTATCAGAGGCCTTAGAGACTATTGTTGGGCGGGAAACGTCCTGGAATTTGGCTCAGTGATCCCCTTTGGGGATATGAGGTTCTTTTACGTGCCGTAAAGTTACGACACGGGACACACAGCTTAAAGTCCCTCCCGGAGGACTTGTTCCCTGAATTTTTCCACCCTTAAAAATTCGACGACCTCCGCCGGGTATTTGAACCCTCGTACCACGAGTCATGAGGTGGGAACGTTACCTCTAGACTACGGAGGCTGCAAGTAAGTAAGTAAGTAAATGTTTAGGAAGACACCACTTAAAGCTTTTCTTGCCTTAAACGTTATAATAATTGGTTACAAAATTTTCCCATGTGATATATGTGTAATTTGTGCCCTTAGCATGTTTCTTGCTGATGTTAAAAGATTTCCCACCTAAAAGTGTATAGAAACACCTCTTACTACATTTTTTGTATCAACATCTCATTTGTTTCCAGTTTTGTTACTTTCTTTCCTTCATATGTGCAGTGACGATGTAACACTGTAGCTCAGGCTCCAAGGTAAAGCAAGTGGCAAGTGCAGTTCAGAAGATACAGCTCCCCTTCTCCCATCTTATCTGTGTTATTGAAGTGGTGATTTTACGGACAATCTTCATAATTTAGTTTTGTACCATTTTAATATTATTTGTGAATCATATTTTAAGCATATTTAACTAGTAACAAAGTACAGTACCCAAGCGGCCTCCGTAGTCTAGAGGTAACGTTCCCACCTCATGACTCATGGTACGCGGGTTCAAATACCCGGTGGAGGTCGTCGAATTTTTAAGGGCGGAAAAATTCAGGGAACAAGTCCTCCGGGAGGTACTTTAAGCTGTGTGTCCCGTGTCGTAACTTTACGGCACGTAAAGAACCTCATATCCCCAAAGGGGGGCAGGTTGAAGAACCCATCCCAGGGTTGAGCCCGGGAGGTGTCGCAATTGATTGCTGGCACTGAGCCAAATTCCAGGACGTTTCCCGCCCAACAATAGCCTCTAAGGCCTCTGACAGATGGGGGAAGCATTATAGACACCGCTAAGCAAGTGGCCGAACTCACTTGCTCGGTGGAACTGATGGTACGCCCCATTTATCAGTAGGGTAAAGAGACTGGTAGAATATCATAGAGGGAAGCACAATAGATCAAACTGGTCGCGGTGCATGGGGAAACCCACCCTCTCTAACTAACTAACTAACTAACTAACTAACTAACTAAGTACACTACCCAACATGTACACGAGAGCTTTGCTTAGACCTTCAACAAGCATAGTCATTACACGGTATGGCAAACTTCAGTTCTTACAATACTGGACTTTCTAAATGGAAGACCTAATGAGGAATTTAAAAAAATATGTATGTTAAAAATACCTGTATCAAATTTATAACTGATGGACTACAGTATTTGGCTTCAACAGTGAATGTGAATTGTTGTCTGGCAGAAAAGGATTATGTTATGAATGGTGTATAGCCATGAATGTGCAAGGAACTGTTGTGAGAAATAAAAGGTTCATACATACATACATACATACATACATACATACATACGTACATACATACGTACATCAGCGTTTCAGAGTATTCACAAGTGTGCAACTGGCACTGAATATAAAACTTGTGAAACAACAGTCACAAGACAGTCACAGATAAAATCGCATAGACATCAATTCAACCATAGTTAAAATCTAAACTGAATAGCTCAATAAAATAGATACAATGTTAGACATACAATTATACCAACAAGGTAATTAACAATCCATAATAAATCTCCTTCCTACTCATATATATATCCATGCAGTAAAGAACTATAATTTCATGGAGATTAGATACGGGGACATATTTTTTTGAATGTGTTAAAGAGATATATGTTTTTAGAAGAGTTTCATACAGTATACTGAGAAATAATGGCATGATAGAACTTCTGATGTACCTTGATTTGTGCATGGGGATTTATATAGATATTCTCATGCTTATCATCAGAGCTCTGAAAATTTGGGACAAATGTACATCGTATGTTCTACAGAAGTATTTATGGGACATTAAAATAGACAATAAAATAAAGGTCAGTTACATATAAACAGGCTGTCTGACAGGACTACATTTAGCATACTCAGGTGTCCATACTAATTGCTGTAAGGAAGCTTAATGTTCAATGAAGTCTTCTCAGACAACCAATCACATCAATATGTCTTGTGGCTCTCCCTAATTCTATCATGTCCATGCCCAAACACCATTAACAATTTGGAAGGAATTTCTAATCCATGGTGGAATTATGCCAGTACAGCTAGACCTCAGTAGTCTCCGTCACTGAGCATCCCTTGTAGCCTGTCCTTCTTGCCAGTACTGTGGTGTCCTTGAAATTTGTCCAGTGGTGTGCCTTGATGCTGTGCAAGTAACATGCCTATTGCTCTGTACCAGTAAAGGGCCTCGTATACAATCAGTGATTTTGTGCAACATTCACTGCTCTGCAGCCATTTTGTCATTGAGTAGAAGTAATTGACATGTTATGCAAATGTTATGTAAATTAAAACAGCTTTTAATATTTTTAATGCAACAAGTAATGTTGCAGAAACAAATTTATTGTGAATGGTGTAGCTTGCACAGACATGTCCAATCTTGCCCAGCTGCAATGGCATCAACATTTACTAAAAAGAGACTTCTGGAAGGGATTTATCAAAATGTAAATGAGTTTTGTTACACCTTGGAAGATTAAAAGTGATTTATATAGAAACAGAAACTTCAGAAGTGAGAGTTATAATGCATTAGTAGCGAAACTGAAGTAAATTGAACTGACTGCAGCTAGAGAAATGGTATGAAAGAAAGTAAATGCCCTTTGAACTAATTTCAGAAGAGAATTACATAAGATGAAGATCCGGTGCCAGTCTGGATGATGTGTATGTGCTTTCTCTATGGCATTTCAGTGAAATTAACTTCTTGAGGGATCATGTAATTCTGTCTAAGGGAGGGCATACAGTGGATTCTGAGGACGAAAATTCTTTGAAAAATCAGTAAGTACAACTGATGCAATTCTTTATTTACAGTGCTTTGGATGATAGGACTATACCTGACTATTCTGAAATAACAAATGTCCTTCCACCATCCTTCTTCATTCTGTAGTACGTGCAAAAGTATTAGTCATCAATTTGGTAAATTCATATAAATATCAAAGATGCTCGCGTGTTATTTCCCTTTCTTTTAATGAGAAAAGTATGAATGATGAACCCTTGTCTAAACCTTTTGGTTAAGGATGTGAAAGGAAAGCAATGCAAACAGAATGAAGTTACTGACACTGGCCTGCAGCCATCTCAGTCAACGTAATGAGATTGATATTTTGGGTAGGGCTGGGTTTCAGATTTTAAGAAGCTGAAACAAGACCAACTAATATTTGCAAAGACAGCTATAATCATTTTGTTTAAGCTGTCTTAGGAACTCTGCATAGGAATTCAGCTTGAATTAACGAGCTGTGGGCTCAGCTGAGTGGATTATCAGCAACAATCAATAATGCATCAGTAGACAGCAATAGTGTCTTCACTGTTACTTGGTACCTTACGGTCAGTGTGGACAATATTGCTCTGAAGAGACAGTGTTTGAAAAGTTTCTTTTGAACAAGTAATTTTGTGGCGACATTTCTTTGTAAAAATATTATACTCTTCATCCAGTTTGTACGTTTTTAAATGGAAAAGTAAAACGTGCATTAATATTTTATTTTAGCGCGGTTATTATTTCCGCATATGTTTCTATTATCATTCTCCCAAAACTTTGTCTGACGAACATAGTTGTGAACTCAAAGTCGTCCAAGTTTTGGCGGGTCGTAACAAATCGAAAAGTTGCGGACAGTTTCTGACTTGAGAATATTCCACATCTCATTACTGTCTGTATTTTATAAAGCTGAAAATGAGCCGTTTCTGAAACCAGTCATTCATACAAATTATCTTACGACTTCCCTTCCGCAGCCCTACCCCTTCAAACTGACTCCTATAAGGATAATTGCTAACACCCATTTTCGTCTTCACGCTGTCAAGATTGGTCAAGATGGTCAAGCTCATTCTCCAGGTTAGGCTTGCGCAGTATGATTGCCTTATCAATTGCGATCAATGGGGTTATGTTGTCAACTAGCACATTGCACATAGGAACATTGCATAAACTGACTGATCGTGCAAAGGGCCCCAAACGCACCAAACAGATATCTTTTCTGTCTCCATTAGTGATATTTTGTTCTCTCTGGGTACATGTTTCATATATTGGAAACCCTGACGACTCTGACTATGGCGACCACCATGATGGTGTTGTTTACAAATGGCTGCTTGGCGGTTTGTCATTTTTGCAACAGCTGCTTAAAATTCGTTTCGTTGTTACTTTCAGTATTATTGCCATGGTATTTGTGGCGAGATTGTATCTTCAGAATATGTGTGTGCTTTGTAAGCAATTATTTACACTATGTAATTTTTAAAACATATTTGTGAATTATTTTTGTGAAAATAAGTAAACTCTTTCTGTTATTTTGTGGGTTATTTCACGATGATGTCAGTATCCGTACCGTACCTTCGAATGGCAGGATGATTCGTGACTGGTAAATTGGAAAGGATTTGAAAGGAAGCGGTCTTGGCCTAATCGAAGTACTGCCCCTGGCTTTTTCCAGGAGGAGCTGACGAAGGCCACGAAACATCACAATCAGTACAACCGGTGTCTCGGGTATAAGTCGAAGGCATCACTGCTAGACCCGCCTTTTCATTTATTAACCTGAACAGAATATAATGTTGAGTCATTTATATTTATTTATTCCATGTTACATTAGCTCCTTGTTGGGATGTATTGATATAGGACTGTTTGGACACAAAGCACATCAATGTTAAATGTCTTGATTTTATTCATGTTGCAGGTTTTACCCTCATGGTATGTAAGTCAGATGTCCGTTACATAAACTGGACACTGGCAACTGAGAGAGGACAGTCTCATAAAGAAAGGGATTATAGCCATCCAGCTTACAATGAAGTAGCTGTGTCTCCTTGTGATCTGACGGAGGATTCATGTGACATACATTGCTGCAGTGATCAGGCATGTAATCAGAAAATGAACATCATTAATAGTACCATCAAACACTGTGATGAAATAGCTGCCATATATAATTCATAGTAAGAATGTTTGGATGCCATGGTTCTTTTCAGTTACTCCAAGCTGTTTGCAAGGCAGTTTTTTAAACACACAAGATCCTTTTTTCCTCCTTCGTAATTGCCTTAGCATCTTTATTTTGACACACTTTGGTATGTTACAGTGAACAGATTGTCTGCAATTCTGTGACAGTCTAGGATTGGTTTTGAATGTGAAGATATCATCATAAAGCTTTTTAGTAATCCAAACTCCTGCAGGATTAGGTTTATTCTGTACTGTTCTTAAAATGAAGTGCTACATATTAAGAAGCTTCTGTTATGTCACAGTTTGTTTTGTTATTTAGTCTTTATAAAATGAGGTGCTCCATTTGTAGACATGTCCATGCAGTTTTCCATGTACGTAGGTCGTACTGAAAGTCATGAGCAACAATTTTTTGTAAAGTAACGTGCTTTATGATTCACAAACCAAATACACCACCTCAATCCACAGACCTTTCTTTATTTTTTGACATAATCGCCACTTCTTTGTACACGTTTCTCCCAGCGTTCTGGGAGTTTGAAAATTCCCCTTCTGTAAAATTCCATTCCAGCCATCCGAAGACACTGACTCACTGACTGGTCCACTGGTCCAGTGATTGAGACTAGCTCTTTCTGACGGGCCCAACTGAGTAGGTTTTTCCTTCCCTACCCACCTGAAGACAGAGACAGAGCTAGTCTCCAAAACATCGTGGTTTTTTGTCTTTTACGTACCAGACGATGGATGAAGTCCAAAACAAGCCAAAAGAAGTATCGGGGGTTGTGTTTGGCTACAGTACAGCAGTCTCATTTTCTGGCCAGTTCAGAAACTAATTGATCACACCATGTTCTGGTATTTTCTTCAGTAACAGAAAGAAATACAAATGAGTAACAGTAGATATAGACATATTCTTATAGAGAAATTCACTCTACCTGCAGTCAGAAATTATTTTTACACATATTTTTATATATGTTCACCATATCCCTCATTCCATCAAATTCTCCATAAGCATTATCACCAGTACAGGTACAATAGGACATATGGAAGCTGACATGCCGAGGGGACCTAATATGGATTCCACCTCACACTATGTGAAATCTTAACTATTGTAATCTACTGTAATCTATTGTAAACAATTTTTAAGTACTGTAACTTTATTCTCTTATTGTAATCAGCCAATGTACAGTAACTGACTTGTCCTATGACATGTAACAATGATCATTAGAGATGAAATAAATAAATAAATAAATAAATAAATGTTCCCATTAAAAGTTGAGGGTTTGTATTTTATGTTATGTAAAACTATCTTGTACACTGAACCATTTCTAAAAATGAATTACAAAGTTATGTTTATGCTTAATGTAAAGCAGCTTTTGTGTTTGATTTGTATGAACAAATAGTAAATCCACTTGACAGCTTTAATTTAGACCTTCAGGCAGTAGTATCTGAGATGAAATATTCAGACAGACTCACCTTCACCCAGTTCTATGCACTTCATGCATTTAACACATAATAACAAAATACTGATATCTAATTATAATTGTCCACTCATGTATTTGTTTCATCTGTTTCAGGACTGCTCACTAGAGCAGAAATCTGGCTTTAACTGCTTTGGAGGCTTACAAGATGGTCAGAAAACCCAAAGTTTGACAGAAGAGAACTGTTTGTGTCATCTATCAGAGAATGCATGCAGTGAATGGCTCCATCTCTTTTGTTATGTGATTACAAATACTCCTTATGTGGGACAGTACTTTGTTACACAGAAGAAGGTGGACACTCTTGCAGCATTTAGTGACTCTTTGGTGAATAAGAAAGATTATTTTAATTTTCAAATGAGGACTGTGTTTGATCTAAGTGAGAGTGATGTGTTTGCTTATTATAAGCATGGCTCCCTAATAATGATGAACAGTGATGATGTTGTGGGAAACAGACCAAAACATCTTGAAATGCCAGCAAATATATTCTATCCAAATGGTGGAGTGTGCATTGACCCTTCTCCAGTTCGCTTTCTTGTGAACCGTGAAGCCCGCTGTGTCAGAGCAATCTCAAGAGAACGCTGTGAAAGACCTATGCATTCACCATTAAGTGCACAAAGCTATATCATTGCAGACTCTGTGATTAATGTTTCACATACCTCAAGATATCTGCATGTTGCTATGGACAGTCTTGGGCATAAAACTGTTCACACTGAATTGAAATTCCTCTGTTTTAGTAATGGTTCAAATTATGTTTCATTCTCACACAATGTTTTCAGATCCAATGTTAGTAACATGATATTTAAACCTCAAGTACCTGAAGATGGTCTTTCCTTGCCTGAGTGTTCTAGTTCCATTGAAGACATTCTAATGACATCTTATGACAAAAAAGAAGAAATTTGTCGCAATGTATTCATCTCAGTATTTTATGACTTTGTCTGGAGTGGAACAGATATAGTGAATCTAACAGCAACATATGTACTCGCTGACGTGCCAGTAACTCCACGTGCTTTCATTACATTGAAAAGTAATATATCAGGTGGCGTTACGACGAACGATTTTATTATGCCCAGGCATGAAGCTATGCACCGAATGGAGCTGTACTTGTCACAGTACTTTGTAGCTAAATTTAGACATTATAAATCTGTTAAGGCGTTGGATGTCAACATAAGTGCTGAAGAAGACACTGCTACCTACCCTGAACACCCTGGCTATGAAGTTGGACATCCAGTAGTTGCCCTAAACAAGAATGATACATCATTTACCTGGGAAGAGGTTCTGCTTGAAGTCTGGGGAAAGCGTAAGTATATATACGTATATACGAATATATTCGACTTCTTTGTCCTCATTTACATGGTAACTAGCATCATCTGACAACTGTATTTAAGCTAATAACTTTAAGCACAGTTCTGTCATTTGGGATATAGCATAGTGTAATCCTGTACTCCAGTGAAAGTCTGCCTGTGTTTTGGAGGAACATGTCACCTACAACGTCTCTGCCTGCTGCCTGCTTCATACTGGTTTTACGCTTGGCTTTCCCTTCGCCCTTCAAGGTTGAGGCAATATATTCATCTGAAACATTTGAATACTCTCAACAGTCTACACAGCATTACAGCCCTCCTCCTCATAACCAGTGCTACATAGTCCCTTAGGTAGAAGTAGCAGAGTTCCAGAGATCAAGTTTGCCAAGTTTCTGAACCTCCTCTTCCAATCGGTCATGGAAAATGCTTTTATTTTAAGTTTGCCTAAACTTGTATATTCCTCAATATTTCTTAAAACCATAATTTCTCCTGCCAGAATTTTATCAACATGTTTTTTACCCTAGTTTCATCCCCATATAAAAGCATGGAAGCTGGCATCCCTTTACATAATTTAACTTGGATTTATTTTTTATTGGTGAAGAGAGAGATATTTAAGATGTAATAAATGATATAAACTCCGTCTCAAGTGCAAACAATATATTTTGTGTCTTTGATCTTGCTCCCNTATCAACGAAGTAGAAGTTGATAATGACAGGGAGAGTGTTTTAGATGTTAAATTTTGAACTGGGTGCAGTGTGACAGCGATGTGAGTGTTATACACCTGATGATGGCCGTCTGAGGCCGAAACATGTAGTGTAGGGAGCAAGATCAAAGACACAAAATATATTGTTTGCACTTGAGACGGAGTTTATATCATTTATCGTATGGAGTGCAACAGGATGCTTAAATATAATATTTAACATGTATTTACGTTCAAGTTAATGCCTGAGTTATCTTTTTTAAAGTTTGTAATACACCCTGAAAAATATTATATAAGGTAGGCAGATTAGAACATCTGTGTCTCATCCCTAAGCACTCCGGATTTTTGTGTCCAAAATCTGGTTTCACTTGTCCGTCATGCCACATGATAGGAAAGCTGTGTTTTTGGGAACTGAATTTGTTCCATCTTAACAGCGTTGGATAACTGCTGTAACATTACTGCTGACGGGATATAAAATAAGACATTATTGCCATTACTGATGATATGACTCTTTTACTGAATTTGTTTTAATCAGAAGTTACCAGTAGAGCAGAAAATGTATGCGTACATGTGTGAGTGTTGTGAAAGCTCATTTTATTTTGTTTCCTTGTCTGTGTATTAATTTTATTTTGTTTAGGTCCATTCATATCATCCTGCATTGATCGTTTCAAACACATAGCATTTCCTGCACAACAAATATTCTTTAGTACTGCATTTATAGATACATTCATAACATCATGGTTCAATCGTTTCCTGCACGATGCAGCACAGTCCGTCTCTGTGCGGGATTCTCAGAAAGAATATTTGTCTGATACACTACGTGTCTGAACATGCCACACTGGACCGCAACAGAAGCAATACATACAGTATGAACAAGTCTCAGTCATGTTCATACACATCCAAGAGCACTTCCATCATGGACAATGAAAAATTGATTGAATTAGTGTGGGAGTTTCATTTTTGTATGGTGTACAGGGCAAAAGATATAGTGATACCCAGAAAAAGGACACAGCATGGAGAGAAATTGCTAAAAATTACACACATCTGGTAAGTAAAGAAATATTTTATTTTAAACATTAATTAAGTACAATGATATGTAAGTTATATTCTTCCATCTGGCAAATTTATAAACCTAGCAAATTGTTTCCTGATGTGAAAAACAGCGTCCTGACTATTGCCTCCTTGATGTGGTATTGTATTGAAATTATTAGGTGAATTAAGTGAAGCCTGGTCTTGTACATGAGAGTTCACATTACCACCGGTTTTAATGAAATTGTGTAGTATGCATGTGGTCAATATAACTTTCCCTGCATTCTCGGGTTTCAATTGTATTCTTCTCCTGTACAAACGAAACTTTTGGGCTACAATCCCGAATGCATTTTCAACAACTTTTTACGCACACGACAATCTTTTGTTGAAATTACTTTTTATCAGATCGGCTTCTTGTGAAGCAGGATATGGTCTCATTAAGTAAGTCTTCAGTGGAAAGGCTTCATCTCCAATTATGGCGTGCGGCATGGATGTTACTTTCTCTGGAAATGGTTTATCTTCTGGTATATATAGCTTTTTCTGAGTCAAATATTTTCTAAGCTTCGAGTTGGCAAATATACTCCTGTCACTATTTTTTTCCATAGGCGCCAGTATCCACCGCAATAAAACTATAATTAATATCCACAAGAGCCATTAACAAAGTTGAAAATGTCTTTTTCTAATTAAAATACAAGGACCCACGGTTAGCAGGGGCTGTTATTACAATGTGCTTACCATCAGTGGCACCAACACGGTTTGGAAAGTTCCACGTATTCCAAAATGCATTGGCAATCCCGCACCATTTTTTGATTGTTGGAATGGGCATATACAATTCCTATAATTGTTGTGTAATAACGTTGCATACGTCCACAACAGTGTTTTGCATGGTGCTTATTCCGAGGCGCTATATGAAGGTTATGGATTTAAAAGAAATTAAAGTTAAATTGAAAAATTACATTGGGTCGATTTTATTTTAATTTAATTGTTTTTTTTGTTTTTTTTCAGATAAAGAGTGTAAAAAATCCTGGAATGCCTTGAGGGACAGGTTTCAACGTGCAATGAAGAGGCAGAAAGAAAGAAAAAGTGGGCAAGAATGTGTGCCTGTAAAGAAATGGAAATTTGTGGATGAGTTGTTCTGTCTTCAACCCTATTTAAAGGACAGGACTACTATCACTTCCATAAATAGTGCAGAAGGGGAGACACATGATGAAAGCTCCAGCAACATGGAAAGAATCCCATAAGATAACCCGACAGTTCCCATATTTTTGTCTCAACAATTGGGTACGCCAGTCTCCAACACACCAAAGTCCACTGCCCCATTGGTGCGCTTACCTGCAAGAATAAACCATGACATTTGCTGAGGAAAGCTGAACCTCAGGTAACCTCTTCGGCTGTGATGATGAAATATCTCCTGAACCAGAAGCAAGCAGATGACATCGATATATTTTTTTCCAGTAAGGCAGCAATTGGAAGAAAATTTCCACCACGCCAGAGGGCTATAGCAAAAGCACAAGTTTTTTGGTCATTTCCAAATTAGAAATAGAATTAGTGACCCAACCATCACAACAGCCAGAGCATCCAGTGATGACAACCATTCCTTCTCCCAGCCCATCTACCTATAGCTACTCAAGTAGCAGCTGGAGCTCTTAAACATATGAGGAGAAACAAAATTCTCATAGAAATATGAACTTTTCTCAAGAATTTAACTCAGCACAAGGACAAGCACTAAATCCTGTGCAAACATCGGAGAGACTTAAAGATTATTATAATAACTTCTGATAACATTGTAGTGCTACATTAGTAGAAATTAATAAAAGTAAACTTACCTCAAGCAAACTGCTAATTTTTTCTGTAGGAGTTATTGCTTCCTTGAAAACCGTGTCATCTTTAGTTATCACCACTTGATTTTTTCCAACAACTCATTAAATTGATATTAAGATAAACGAAAATATTGAAAAAGAACTTTTCTTCATCATCCATTAGTTCTTTGTATAGAGTCCAGTATTCTCCTTCTGTCTTCCTTTTATTAAGCATTTTATGGACAGAAAAGCTCTTATGTTTACGTTTCTCACTATTTTGAATATTCTTTTCTTCTTCTTTTAATAAAATTGATATAACACACAGTTCTTCAGTAGATAAATGCAACATGCCTACAAGGAGGTATGAGCTGGAATGGTTCGATGTCTGATAATACGAAAAGTTTGCACAAATGTCGTGCAGGAAACGCTACGTGTATAAAACAATCGATGCAGGATGATATCAAAGCTCACACAAATGTCGTGCAGGAAACGCAACGTGTATGAAACGATCAATGAAGGATGATACGTATGGACCTTTATACTCAGGAGGATGTAGCACACCCATATGTCATATATCATCCCTTGAACAGTCACTCGGCAACAACCTTTTTAATTTTTCTGATGGATTTTATTAAGACTGCTTGTTAGCAGCCTCCATAGTCTAGAGGTAACGTTCCCACCTCATGACTCGTGGTACGCGGGTTCAAACCCGGCGGAGGTCGTGGAATTTTTAAGGGCGGAAAAATTCAGGGAACAAGTCCTCCGGGAGGGACTTAAAGCCGTGGGTCCCATGTCGTAGCTTTACGGCACGTAAAAGAACCTCATATCTCCAAAGGAGGTCACCGAGCCAAATTCAAGGACGTTTCCTGCCCAACAGTAGTCTCTGACGCCTCTGATAGATGGGGGAGGCATTATAGATACACCAAGCCAATAGAGGCCAAACTCGCTGGCTCGGTCGGGACTGATGGTACGCACCAATATCGGTAGGGTATAGAGACTGGTAGAATATCATAGAGGGAAGCACAATGGACCAATACTGGTCTAAGTGCATGAGAAAACCTACCCTCTCCAATAACTAACTAAACTAAGACTGCGTGTTTTATTAATACACTCTTTATTAGTTATTTATCATTCCAGAGAAATCTGTGGTTTAGTTGTGGGAGAATACTGAACAGCATTCTCACTGAGTTTAGCGTACCCAGAAAATTAGAAAGTCCAATTAAAATGCATTTGAACGAAACCTGTAGTAGGGTCTGTGAGGGAAGCATTTGTCTGATACATGTACTATAGAGATGGAGATGCTCTCTTGCCATTATTTCTCAACTTTGGTTTAAATTGTGCCACTGAAATAGTCCAAAATGGCAGGAGAGTTTAGAATTAAATGTAACATATCTACTGATGAAGAAAGCAGTCTTCTGGGATTTGGCACCGTGTATATGTGGTGTTAACCGACGTTTCGGAGGAACGTATC